AATAATATCGTCATGGACAAGTTTGACTATACAATAATTATAAAACATATTTCCCCCGGGGGAGTGGAACCCATTTCAACTCCATGCAAGGCGAACAAGAGAACCATTACACTTCAGACGCCGATTTTCTCTTCTCAACCGTGTAGAATTGCAGGCGTAAACAGAATGATTCCCTCATCTCAGAAGGCTAACGAGCCGCCAAGCGTATCAATCTAGTGTTACGCTCTCACCAACTAGCAACCATGACGACGCACAGAGAGAGGGAGAGAGAGAGAGACAGAGTAAAACGAGAGAAGGAGAATCAGAGATCTGTTCGTCCGCCCAACCTAACACAAACACTATCAATGACTTCTACTCGCACCCAGGGGGGACAGCCATTATTTCTTCATCTTTGAAGAGAAAGTCGTCAAGGGACACAACTCCCCCGCGCGCCCCGGAGAGTAACGTCCCCTTGGAGACCATGGTCGTGACGCCAGCTTCTAAAGAAGACGGTCTCTCCGGGAATTTCGCACTGCGCTTCGCGGTTTCTGCTGCCTCTTTGGCGCTGTTTCAATGACCTGTAACATGCTCGCCTACAGGATGTGGTTGCATCCGATGTATCAGTGTGAGTGTGGTGTAGTGGTTAGTGCCCTTTGCAGTTGTACGTAGGACGAGACATGAGATTGATTCCCTTCTAAGGGAAAAATTATGATTTTATCGAGTTTATATGCTTGACTTTTTAAAAGATGTTACATCCCACTCAGCTGTGGCGGTAGAAAGAGCCAAAGCATCTAGCCTCTTAGATTATTTCATTTGTGTTAATGTGCGCTTAAAACGTTTACAGGCAATTTAAGCATCATGTACACACAGCGCTGTGATATTTAAAAAAACAAACAAAATTGTAAACAAGTAAACAAAAAAAGATCGAGGCAGTGAGAGAAGAAGTGAGATATGACATCACTAGAGATCTAGACATTATCAGAAAAAGACTGCGTAGAAGAAAGCTCAGAGTTCTAAACATTCCTCGTAAACTTTTTATGTTTATGCTTTCAATACAATTGCATTGTGTGGTTTTCGTTTAGAGAAATAAATGTAATTGTAGGTGTTTTACTCTCTGATCAACACGGTTTTAGGTCTTGTAAGTGAGAGCGATGCTTAAAACATGCCTGTCAAAGCCATCCTGAGCAGAAAGTAAACGCAGCAACGTACCTGCAAAGCCTACAGACGCGATAAAAATAATCTTTTCCACGTGGAAATTGAAATCATGTCTTCTGTACTCGATGTAGAAAGGATTAACAACAACACATCAGACGCCAGTGTGATTTTCTGCACTGTGAGACGGAATTATTCAATTTCTTCTTAAACACAACGCCCTGAGGTCTCAACATAGTGGGAGAGATTCACTGTATTTTTTTATTCCATAGGCCTACTTGTTTTAAACCCACTGACTACATGACGCAAATCGTAAACTCTTTTCTTTCTTTTTAAACATTTTTTAATTATTTTTTTTTTAGTTTGAGGAGAAAGACGCACATTAACACGATAACGACGATCGTTTAGGGAGAAGTAAATGCTAGACAGACTTACACGAAACAAAAGCAGACGAGAAAAGTAATACGATTTACTCTTGGCGCCCTTCACATCACATCCCCTACTGTTCTTTTACATGAACACGACAATTAATTGTCACTTGCGTAATAACCACATTTCTTGCCTCAGTAAAAACAAAGATAAAATAAATAACGGTATTTAAAAAAATAAACCCAAAGCGTTAAAAGAAGAATACCAAATAAAACTGCTTAATACGAACATAAATCTCTGACGGATCCATCTTTACATTTTTTTCCAGTGTTTTACTTGTTCTCGGGGGCGTTATAAAATTCTCGCTGTACGGTCTCGGCAGATGTTGTCTGTGCTGTTTTAACAACTACGAAATTATACCTTACGCTTAGAGCAAAGTCAGCAAAAGTAAGGTCATGCGATACAGTGACGTAGCCTGACACTTTTATCCTCATCAGATGTGGGAAAAATGTGCAAACGTTTTGTGCATGCTCCACATTCACATTAAGACTGTAACTTTTATTTTGTATTATATTTTTATCTACTTAACCTATCAACGTACTATGTATCTTTACTCTCATTTCTTCTTTATACGTTTTATTCATCAGCATAATCGGAATGCCATTTACTAGTATTTTCGGCACATGTGTTGCTATTTCCTTTCTATATTTTATATACCAAGGCCTACCCTTTATCCCAACTTTTTGTCCCGGAAAATCACAGCGCGAATCCCAATCTCTTTACACGTACACGAAATATATATGCTCCCCACCCCCCTTTCGTTCACACACACACACACACACACACACACACACACACATACACATATGCACACTCCCCAGCATAGATAGATAGATAGATAGATAGATAGATAGATAGATAGATAGATAGATAGATAGATAGATAGATAGATAGATAGATAGATAGATAGATA